TGAAAGTAACGAGTAACTTGAAGTAACTGAGTTACTTTTGATAGAAGTAACTAGTAATGTAACTAAGTTACTAATTTAAAGGAACTTACCCAACACTGCTCATGACAGTGACATAAGCAAGTGCGACGTTTGTGACAACAGCTGTGTGCAGATCAACAATGGATCATATATCGAATGCAGGAGAGAGTATGAGCATGCAGCATTTAAAGCGTGGAAGTACTGACCTTATTTTGAGTTTAATTCCATAAAAAGTGACAAAAACATTAGTGTCCGTTGTGCGTGGGAAGAAAACTTCTCTTTACAGCGAAAAAAAGTATCGTATGATACTTAACAATATTTCATCATGTTTGGATTATTGCAATTCGTTGTTCACTTGTGTAAACAAAAACTCCCTAAAATGTTTATAAGTTCTTAGGGTCTCCCATGGCAAACTGGTCCTCAGTAAGGGTGAGTGATTGAGCAGACCCCTATGAGTACAACATCAAAGGAATGGGTCACCCTGCCCAGAATAGGGTTACTGGGGCCCAGCCAGGATTAGCCTTAAGAAGGGACAAAGGACCACTGTACTGTAGACGCACTACATGCCAGAGGTTCTGTAGGGGTCAGTGTTTGCTGGGTGTCAGCGAATGACCGGGTGGATCGATCCCCTGCTACCGTGGCTGGCAATAGGGGCATGTGTTGTCACCTCTCTGGTGGGGAAGGACCCAGAGCTAGTGCGTGAAGTTGAGAGGTACCATATTGATATAGTTGGGCTCATTTCAATGCATGGCTTGGACTCTGGAACCAGTCTCCTGGAGAGGGGCTGGACTGTTCCACTGGCTTGGTGCCTGCAAATTGAGGCTTTTTCCAGTGGACGAGGGTTTGTTTCCTGCATCCGTTGCCTTTGGTTATGCATCAATGACGTTTCTGAGTACTCCGACTTCTAGCAGTCCCTCGGTGTGGTGCTTGAGGGTGCTCCACCTGGGGAATCTATCATTGTACTGGGAGACTTTGGTGCTCATGTGGGCAATGAGAATGAGAACTGGAGGGGCGTGACCTGAACCTGAATGGTGTTCTGTTACTGGACTTCTGTGCACAGTTTGTCCATAACCAACTCCATGCTCGAACATAAGGGTGTCCATAAGCGCACGCGGCACCAATGATACCCTAGATTCTAGATGATAGATGATAGATTCTGTAATCGCATTATCAGGTACAATGTATGTTCTGGTCACTTGGGTGAAGAGAGAGGCTGAACTGTCAACTAATAATGGTGAGCTGGATCAGGTGTTGGGGGCAGGACACTTGACAGGCCTGGTGCTGCACCCAAACGTATAGAGAGGGTGTGTTGGGTACACATAACACAGGCCCCCTTCCCTGAAATCTTCAACTCTCACCTTTGGCAGAACTACAACATCATTCCAAGGTAGACTGGGGACATTGAGTATGAATGGACCACGTTCAGCACCTCCATTGTTGAACCTACTGCCCTAGCTGTAGCTAGATGGTGTTTGGTGCCTGTCAATTCAATTCAGTTGTATTTATACAGCGCCAAATCACAACAACAGTTGCCTCAAGGCACTTTATATTGATTCTGTATCCCAATTTACTTTTCAGTTCTCTAGGAACCACAAGTAAGGCCAAAGCCTAACAGTGAAGTGCTCTAATGGGGTGATGTTGTACTATAAGGTCATTAAGATTAGTTATTCAAGACCTTGTATGTGAGGAGCAGGATTTTGAATTCAATTCTGGATTTAACAGTGAGCCAGTGAAGGATAGCCAACATAGGAGATGTTGGCGCCCCAGGGTGGCTGTGGCTACAATGTAGCTTGCCATCACCAGTGTGTGAATGTCTGTGTGAATGGGTGGATGACTGGACGTGTAAAGTGCTTTGGGGTCCTTAGGGACTAGTAAAAGCGCTATAGAAATACAGGCCATTTACCATTTACCATATGCTCTCTCTTTCTAGTCCCTGTCTGTACTCTTGCTGTAGCATTTTGGATGAACTGAAGGCTTTTCAAGGAGTATAGAGGAAATCCTGATGTCATCTGCATACCAGTGAAAATGTACACTATGTCTCCTAATAATGCTGCCTACAGGAAGCACATACAGTGGCTTGCAAAAATATTTGGCCCCTTGAACTTTTCCACATTTTGTCACATTACAGCCACAAACATGAATCAATTTTATTGGAATTCCACGTGAAAGACCAATACAAAGTGGTGTACACTTGAGAAGTGGATGATGGATGTGTAAGCTTAATGTTGCCATGAGCAGTTCTTCCCTTTAAATATATCTTCCTTTCCTGTCCTGTTTTTCTTAAATCTTTCTCGAGCTTTGAGTGAAGTTTGCTCTCATACTATCTCTCTCCCTGGAAAATACAGCAGCTGGACCTTTAGCTAGCAACACACTGTGTGACAAACTGCACACAAACAGTTTGCGTGTTTGCTGATGTCTGTTGACCTGATATAAACGTTGCATTTGAAATGACCTGCCACTTAAAAAAATGTTACTCCCTGTATGATTGCTCCTCTTCAGAAGCGCTAGCTAGATGCTCTAGTATCAGGACACCTGCAGTCGTTCTATCAAACTGTCAAGCATTAACTAACAAGCTGTAGTTTTCTAAATGTACAACTATTAGTGTTAAAAATCATTTATATTATACAGATTTTTGTTTTTCATGTGTGCTTTGTTATCATATTGATGTAAAAGATGTCAATGATTAGAAATGTGAGTAAGAAGCTCAGGTGAATTAAGAAACACTTTCTGTCTGCATCTTATACCCAGAAAAAATAGTCCACTTCCACTGAACAGAGAGAATAGTTCCTGCTTATAGTAACTGGTGTGTTTAGTTCATTGGACTGTACCGGCCTTAGATGGTGACGAAAAATGTCATGACAAGGTTGGAATTTTTGGTATTTTTCATGTTTCATTTATGATTTTAAGGAAATATCTAAGATAGTCTGTTGCACATTGTTCTACGTAATGCAAGTCTAGAACAAAGACTATTTAATACTTAAATTACCTGTTTTCTAATTACAGCGCCACAGATTAACATTTCTGATTAATCAAGAAGAAACACATCGTTATCTTCTCTGGTTTCCAAATACTCTAATATGAATCTGATTATTCTTTCTGCACATAAACAAAATAAAATCACAGGAAACTGTGGAAAAGAAAAAAATAACCAGCATCAGTGTCCGAAGATACCCTCATGATTTGTCTCAGCTCAGACTGGTCATATGAACTTCAGATAAATGTTCAATATTTTGTCCCCATCTGGTTCCCTTTCCTGTGTGTGTGGGAGGTGTTTCCTGAGAATCACCCACAGTCGCGAAGGGTGGGAGTGCCTACTGGGGTCAGCGGGGGAGCTGGCCCCAGGGAGGGG